GGCTCTGGGGGGGGCCTTTTGCTTTCCCCCCGCCCTTAGTTTTTTTCTTTTTTTTTTTTTTTTTTTTTTTTTTTTTGATAATGCTCTTGTGTTTAAGGTATTTTGCTATTTAACCTAGGTTTCTGAGTGCCTTTGATGCCTGAAGTTTACAACACGCGAATTTCTCAGCGTGATTAATTTTATTTTCTTTAAATCCTGAAAAGTGCTTGTTCCAAGTAGAAAGCTAGGGTAAGGTCAGCCTCTTTGAAACACGCAGATTTATTTTTTACAGGTGAGTTCTTTATTTAACCAACGGGATATTCCTATCCAGACTGTCAAGCTTGTGATTCCTTAAAAACAAATAAATCACATGAACATGGTGAGCAGTGCTTGGCATACTGAGTGGGAAGAGGCCTCTTGCATTTGTAGCTTTCCTTTCCTGCCTTCTCAAAGGAGATTAGCTTGCAGACTATGAAATGTTGTGGCCTTCAGAAAGATGAGCTATAAAGCTCACCAGAGGGAGAATCAGTCCTTGTCATCTCTCCCCACATTAGTTTGCATTTCCCCCGGCCATCATATTTCAAACCCCATGCCTTGGTCCAGCCCACGCACAATTTTTGTAACCAGCTTAGTCAGGGATGTGATTTCCCTTCCTACTTCTGCCTGTTACGCTTTAGTTTATAGCAGTAATGTGGGAGTCACTGCAACAAAATTGTTCCTCTCCTTGTGCAGAGGGACTAGCTGTAGAAGCAGAGTACTTTTGCGTTGGAGTAGTTGCATCTTCCGCAGCGTGGCTGGACTGCTTTAAGTACACGGGTCTAATCAGAGCAGTTTGTCTTCTCTCTTTTGACATGGCTGTGTTGAAGCGTCTTGATGGTTCTCACCAATGTATCTGGAAGGGACAGGCTTGGGAGTGCGACCATGCAGGTTCAAAAACCTGCTGTCAGCGCTGCCCCAGGGTGTAGGGGATACTGACTGCATCTGGGTGTGCCTCCTTCGATGCGGTACCAGAGGCTGGTGGTGCTGTTAGTTGCGGCAGCATCTGAGCTGCAGTTGAAACAGCTGTTCAGATTTAAAAAATAAAAACAAAAATAAATCTTCCATACTTTGGCAAGCTGCATTGTTGTTACTGTCTTTTAGCACCATGAATGTCAATAGTTAACTTTTGGTATATGATATATAATTACGAAGCAAAGGGGAGTGACCTCAGTCTGCATTGGCTTTTATTTTATTTGAGATTATGAAGAGTGCCATTCTGTTTATGATTTGGCAGTAAAAAAATTCACTGTTTTAAGTTATACTGCGGACCCTGAACTGCTGCAGAACAGTTCTGCCTTCAGGCACTTGGGGTAGAGGAGGGGGCTTACTGTAGAAGTTGCATGAAACGCTTCAGAAACACCGCATTTTTTTCCCCTTCCTTTCCTTCCCCTTTCCCTTTTACCTTGAGTTATTCACACCATGCTAGACAAAAAGTTAAACTATGGGCAATACGTTAATACCCTTGGCAACATTTATGCTTTCTGTAAGGATGGTTCCATGTTTTAAATAGAAATGGGTAGGCGAGGGGTTTTTCTTCAGAAGGACAGCTCTTGCCTCCTAACCTTTCTAAACCTTTCTTGCCTCCTAACCTTTCTAAAGCAAGCTCCCTGTGTCCCTGCTGCAGGTGCTGCTGTGGAGGCACGCCGGAGCTTGGAGGGGCCGGGAAGGAGCACCTCACAGCACGCTGGTGCCATCTGACGGTAAGCTCGCCCAGTGGGTTTTCCCCCTTCCATCAATGTCAACAAACTTTTCATTTATTTTGTGGGAGTCAGGTGAGATGACGTTAGTTGCATGTTGTATATCTATATATATATATATCCCAGAAATAGAAGTACTATATTAACTAAAGAAATCTAGAATGTTTTGTGTGGTTTTCTTTATTCATCGTGTGTTTTCAAAACAGCTTTTAAATTAAACTACAACTTACGATATGACTTTTTCACTTAGTTTTCGTTTCTGCCTCCCCAGAAGTAACTATTAATTACAGACACGGTCTTCCTGTGATAACTCTTACGCTGCCCACAAGAAGCGAACGCTGTCGGTTCACTGTGAAGCCAGTGGTGACCACGGTTAGGACGTGCAGAGAGAAGATAAAGGAATTGAGAGGGCGGAAGTCTTTACAACAGGTATCTTGCATTTCTGTTGTTTCTCAAAAGGAATCCATTCCTTTTCAAATGGACTGTACTTCTTTCCTGAAGCACGAGTTCAGTCCTCCATCAGGTTTAGCAGTGTTGCTGTTGGAGTAGTTCTTGAACACTGCTGGGGTTTATTGGTGTTTCAAATCTAATATCTGAGTCCTCTTGGAATGGTTGATTAACAGTGCAAAATTGGACGTGTTACTGTAATCTTCCCTGTATCCCAGCAGTGATTATTATTATTATTATCTTTTTCAGGTAGCTTCTCTTTGTAAAGCTGTCTTTCAATAAGTGTCTCTCCTCTGGTTTCCTTGATATCTTTTTCTTTCCTTGTCCTCCATGGTCATTCTTAAAGACAACCAGTCGGGCTTTTTAATGTGATGTCTGCCAGTTGTTCAGTGTTACCCGGAGCTGGAAGAATCTGTTTGCCTCGCTACAAACTTGAACTCATACGGAAAACTTACTAAGAGCTAAGCAACCAGATACTGCGTGCAATGATAAAGGGTGGCTTTCTGAGACTTTGGGGAGGTTTCGTTCATCAGCTGGAGTACATTACTTTGGGGCCCTTGGGTTGAAAAGAAAAACCTATACTGATGTGTTAGCATTGATGTGGTCTTTCGTCCTTGTAGCATACTGTTTATCCCGTTGTCCCAAGTCTTCAGGTCATTTTCTCAAGCTGTGCTCACTGTTTTCATGTGTTTTGTCTCTTTGGTCTGCCTGTTGATAAAAGCTAACATCCAGCTAGTTAAGCTCTTTTTTCCTTTTATTTCCAAGAGAACTTGGTTTGTATTTTGGCAGTGCTTTGTAGTTTTTCCACAGCAACTCTGAAAGTCTTGCGATGCCTGTCCTGGTCCTAGAGAAGGACTCAATCTCAAAAGTAGAACTGAGATGTGGTAGAATCTGGTAGAATAGGTACTTGAATTTGGCTAACTAAAAGCATCTATTTCTTCCCTTCCCCTCTCACCCCCTAGAAAGAAAGAAAGAATGTAAGGAGAAAAAAAAAAAAAAAAGGATAGCTACATCCCTGTAGAAAGATTTATTTTTCCATCAATTAACACATAAATAGAAGAAAGGAGGGCGTCAAGGAAAGTTGGTCCAAAAGTTCAAAACTGGGTGCATTTGTAATGTTCCCTTTCTTCCTGGTTGATATTGCAGAGGGTTGCAGGGACTTTTAAAGAAACTGAAAATAGATTGGTGCTCCTAGAGGATCAGGAAGCCACAGATCTAGGAGAAGCCGCTTTAGTTGCCTTTGAGAGCACATTTAGTAAACTAGGAAAATACCCCATAGAGCAGTATATTTATATCCTCTAGAGCAATGGAGATGTGATCTGTGTGGATCCCAGTGTGTGCATGAGCTTGGTGTACACAGGAACTTTGGGACTGGTGTTTTGTTGTGGTGGTTTTTTTTTTAAATGCTATGTCTGCTAGGCAGCAGAGGTAGAAAATTCTCTTGAAAAAGATAATTTCTTAAGAGACTTGTATCTTCAGAAGCCACTGTAGCAAATGGACATTGGAAGCAGCTTGCCTTCCTCTTAACACAGAAGTTTTCACTAAAAAGGATTTCTTACTGGGGTGAGGCAGGGCTAGCTAAGAACATGCGCCAGCGAACAGTTAACCTCTGAGCACTGCTATCTGTGCGGAGACATCCATGGCAGAGGTATTCGTGATTCACTTCTGAATCCTTTCCTTCTGTGGTATGTCAAGAAAGGCTAACTACTCATTCTGCTGCAGTGCAAATATCGGTCACTTGTGAAGCATAAGATAATTTCCCTAAGAAACCTACAGTCTGGCATTTTTGGCATGGACGGGCAGCAGGTTCCAAAGTGGAAAGGAATTTGAGCCATTTTCATCTGTTTAACACCGCCTCCCCCCCGACTTTGAAATAGAAACATTGTCCATTTTGATTAAAACAATGCCTGTTAAACAGTTCTCTGCTCTGTATTTTTCAAGTGCTGGGCAATTGTAATGTTAGAGAACAGCTTAGATGTTTAATTTATTAGGAAATTGATACTGTAAAGAGAAACTATTGGTCAAGTACCGAGAGCTGAATTTAAACATTTATTATTAAAGAAAAATTATGAAGCCGTGATTTAGTGCAGACACTTCTTCTGTGTCATTTAGCCATTAAATGAAACCCAACCTTAATTGAAAGCATTAGCGCTATGTATGATGACTCATTTTCATTTTCTGTGGATTCGATTTTGGTCCTGCAAAACTTCTGTAGGCAAAAAATGGCCCTTGGTCCACATTTGAACACTTGTGCTTAGGTATAGGAAGGAAAGTAGCCTTTTGCTGAAAGCCTGTGGGGAATTTTCTAAAACAAAACACCTCCCTTCCCCCCAAACTTTTCTGCTTTTCAGTTAATGAAAGGTTGGACAGGTTAATAAATTGGTGTTGTATCACATCCAGAACAAAAAGCCTGTCTGGCACTTCTTTTGAAAAGCATTTTTTGCTTAAATGTCACTTCATAAATGTCACCTTAATAATTTACATGCAAATGAGCTCTGATGTTCTATTACGCTGTAAAAAAAATAAAACGAAAAAAAGAAATGAGTGGATGGGCACATTAAAATTTCAGATTTTGGATTGAAACTGATAGCCTTCCAGGTTTGCTTTGCTACCCACACAGAGTGGGTCGGGGAGCCAGCTGGTGTGTTAGCTCATGGAGCGCAGTAGTCGGAGCCTCAGCAGATGGGGCCTGAGAACAGAGTTCCAGTGAATAAATAATTGCAGGTGTGGGGTTATCTGCGGTGCCTTTCTGTAGTGGGCATGTGGGGACAGGTGGAGGAGCTGGGGCAGTAGCGCTGTGGCAAATATTTACGTACAAAAATCTTCATGTTTTGTAGCCTGATCATTATTCATCTCAGGAGTAAAGCTGCTGTTTTCCACCGCTGCCCACCCCTTGGCAGGGGCAGGGGACGATGCCCTTTTGATGTATAGGAAATGAAGAGGAGGTCAAACAGCTACCATGGAGCAGCTGCTCTGTGGCTTTTGAACCCCCCATGCCACAGCGATGTGTCCAGCAGCAATGGTGTGCAGCTCCGGGCGTTCTTGGGCCACCTGAACCCCCTGTGGGGGCTGGTTTTACTGGGTGGATCTGGGATCTGCTGGACATGGGCCAGCGAGTGTTCTGGGGGTCCACCATTACATGTTGCTGCTAAGGACTCCGGGAACTCCTTTTCGGTGTCTTCAGCTCCCCGTGGGATGTGATGTGTTCCTTTGCGTCCTGGGTGCGGTGGACGATGAAATGAAGAGGAGATACGAAAGCAGGCAGGCAGGAAGAGTAGTAATATACTAAGGAAAAGAGGTTATTTACAAACTTCAAGCCCCTTTAAACAGAGAAACAAAAAGTAGAGATGGGACAAAACAGATCTTTTACATTTCAGCAGAGGTTTTAGGTTACATCTGCTTTTGTGTATTGAATGTAAAGTAGGAAGGGATCCATTTTTCATTTGGATGCAAGTGTTTTTCCTGTTGTTCAAGAAATGGGAGATGTTGCCAGAGTACTGATCCTGCAAGATGTGCTGTGTTGAGAATGCCCTGGGAAGGGCTGCAGTATGTCCATGCTCTTGGATGAGAGCCTGTTCATATATTGAAGTTGTGGTCCATCTACCAGTGGCAAATCTTTTCTAAGCCCTAAGCAGACACAGATACTGCGTTTTGGGTGAAAGGGCCTTTGGCAAAGAAAAATGGTAGAGAGGGAGTGAAAAGAAGGAACAAATATAAAAGCAGGATAAAATCTTCAACAACTGGCTTTCCTGATTGAATGTCACAGTTGCCCCCTTGTCTCTGATTTTGAGTCATTGAAAATAGATAGGATTTTTTTTTCTCAGCCTGTTCTCTGTGTTGCTGATGGGGTAGCATTCATGTAAATTTTTGCATAAAAAGAGAAGTAGAAAAGGGTTGCCCAGAGTGTTTTAGACTAATGCCTCTGTGGTTTCTGGGCTGCCTTGTACTGGACAGTGTAGCTATCTACTTCTTAACTCCCAGTCACAATTGATATTGAAACACAGTGATTGCAAGTACCGTTAATAAAAATCTGAACACCACTACTGACAAGAATAGGTCCTTTTGACTGGAAGAGCTTGTTTAAAGAAAGACATAAATCTATTACTGAAGGTGAGGCCTTTGAAGGTCTTTTAATATTCCCAAACCCTTTGTCCTAGTGAAGACGCAAACTTGTGTGTGGATGGAGAAACAAAAATGCAGATCTTTGTGTTGCAGTTTGTTGCTGTTTTATGCAAGACTTCTTTTTCCTTTGCCCTCCCCTTCCCAATGGGTCAATAACTGTACCACAAGAAAATACAAGTCCGCTCATGGTAGCGGCAAGTCCGAATGACGCTGCTAGAGAAAGCATTCAGGCACACACTCTGCGTTGATGTGTTCCTCCTTACTTTTTAGTATCAGTTACCAGATTTACTAGAAGTACAGTTCCCTTCCAAACATTATTAATAAAGAACTCTAGCACTTTTCCAAAGGGATATCAGCTCATGTTTAAGATTCCTTATGATAAATCATTTAGAACTTAAATCTTTCTTCTGCAGATGGTAGCAAGGTCTCTGATGCAACCTTGATGGAGGTCTTATTGATGAATGACTTTAAACTTCTTATCAACAACACAGCATACAGTGTGTCACCTCCTGTAAAAGGTAAGAGCGATGCTTAATAACCCTGATTATCTCACTTCATCTAGTGAAAGGCACGGGAAGTCTCAGAAAACAGGAACCTGTCTGGAGAAAGGAATATCTTTTTTTTTTTACCATTGGATGGTCCTGCTGCTTTTTGGGGTTGGAGTGGGGAGAGAATGAAGAAGGGTAGGTTCTTGAAATGTTTTATATGACAAACATTTTCTTTTCAGATAAGCTGAGTAGTGAGCATGCTACTGAAATGGAAGATGTCAAATCCTTGGTTCACAGACTGTTTGTGGCTCTACATTTAGAAGATCACCAGATCAGGAAAGAGAGAGAATTGCTACAGAAACTAGACCATCTGAAAGAAGAGCTGCTGCCTCTTGAACAGGTTGGAAAGTGGGGTTGCTTTTTCTTTTTTTTTTTTTTTTTAAGAACTCGGAAGTATTTCCTTTCATCAGGACTAAGTCCTCTGATAGAAAAAATCAGCATGAATGGCTAGGGTGTGTCCGGCTTTTTTGTCATGCAAAGGAGGGTCAATTCAAATATAACTCAAATTATTTTCAATTCAGTTCTTTTCCCTCCTGTTACGTACGTGCCCTGGGTAGAAGCCACAACGCCTGGAGAAAGCTGTCGTGAACAAGCCTCAGCATGGCTAGTATTGGGATTGAAAGTCCTCTTAGTCACCTGTTGCTCTATGCGTTCTGAATGCCCATTACAGAAAAAACAATAGTGAGGCAGAAATCACCTGTGGCTTAGGCTAGGGTTTTCTGTACCACCAAGGCAGCAAGGCAAATTGTTGGGACTAATGGTTGCCATAATCCAAGGAGGGAAGGTATGAATGTTGATCTAGGGCAGGGTAAGCTAACCCAGCACGAGGGGAGGAAGCCAGAAAGAGCCTGACGAAGTGGACAAACTTTTCCTTGGCTTCAGACCTGCTTTGTGAGGACTGGCCTCGGCGTTAACCAGAGCTGCCTTGAATGGTAAATGGAAATCCAGTAGACATAAATCCCTAGTAGTGGGAAGGGGAGATGAAAAGCAGCATTTCTTGGTGCGCAACAGCCAGGAGATCTGGCTACCCTTGAATTTCAATCCTTTTCTTTCTTGGCAAGGTTAAGTCGGTAAGAGGAGTCAGTAAGAGATCCTGAGAAAGGATCTAGCCCAGCAGGCGAAAACATAGTTGAGGAGCTGCTCATCAGTTGCACTCCTGTTTGCTTGAACGGGTGTCTATATTGCTTTTCCTTAGATGAAAGCCAGAATCACGGACAGCGCACACGCAAAGACCTCCAGGCTTCTGTGGGTTGGCTTAGCTCTGATGTCGACCCAAGGGGGAGCGCTGGCGTGGCTCACGTGGTGGGTCTACTCGTGGGACATCATGGAGCCAGTCACCTACTTCATCACTTACGGGAGTGCCATGGCTTTCTATGCCTACTTTGTTCTTACTAAACAGGTAAGTCCTCGTTTTGTAAATGTCTGGAGTAAAGGAGGTGGAGTAAAGTATGGTAAAGGAGGAAAACTGACTCTGAAAATCACAATGTTTGGGCTCTGATGAAAATATAATTCAGTAAGTAGCATTGCCCATCAGATAGGGACTTGTTTGATCCCTAATGGGGCTGGATACGAGCGTTACATTATGCAAAGTCAAGCCAGGTACAGTTCCATGTGAACTGCAGACCAGCTGCTGAGCAGAACTACTCTCTGTAAGACTTCATAGCCTAGGGAATGAAAAGCACTGAAAGAAGTCTCTATTTTAAATTTTCGTAGATCACTTTGAATAGTAAACGGCACCTTGCTCATTGCTTTAAAGGGAGAGCAACTAGTAGTGCTGTGCCAGTTAGCGACCGCTGCCTTACAGCAGGCCAGGAAGCAAATCACGGAACAGTAGCTTTTATTTGCTGGAGGTTACATATAAATGGTGCAGGGTGCCAAACGGTTTGGGAATCTGGCAGTTGCGTGATTGAAATATACCTACTTTAGTGCCTGAAAAAACGTTATTGCTTTGTTCTTCACAGTCTGACTGCTTTTCCTTGACTTTGAATGGAGGTAAATCTAGGACAGCTGAAATGGGGCAGGAAACAGGCTTTGTTCAGATGAAAAAATTTTGCTGAGTAACAAAAAAACAGATCTTAATTGAGCTGCACAATACAGACTTGTCCTGAAATCCTGTAAGACTCTGAGGAATGTTTCTCTTTCCTGTTTTAGCTGTGTACTTTACTCCCGAAGTGGACATCTCGATGTCCATTTGCACCTGTGATACAAAACTCTCTTTGTTATGGAGGTATGTGGAGGAGTAGCCAACGCTTCCTTCCATAATACCAGTGGATCTGTAGAGCCCATGAGACGTCGGGTTCCTTCAGTGAAAAGGGGAGATGTGTCTGGTTTTATGGACAGCTGGCTCCAAGTGCGAGTTTTACTCCGTCTCACTGATTTTTAAGAAGGGC